CTGATGTGTTTCACTTAGCATAATAATCTCAAGATCCATCCATGTTGTCGCAAATGGCAGTATTTCATCTTTTCTTATGGCAGAGTAATGTCTTTTGAGAAGCATGACAAAGAGGAAGAGAATTCAAAGCATCCGGAGGGATGTAATTAAGGAAAGGTGTGGGACTCTAATCTACATGACAATGACTTACAGGAAAAAATGTACCAGGGGATGCTGTTTACATGAAACATGGGATATTAGGCTAAGAATCCAACCCAGATTCTTCAAGTGTGGTTGATGTGTCCCATGTTCATATATGTCCTTTCTCATCTGGGTGTGATAATGAGATTGTTCAAAGGATTGTGAGGGTCTGTTGCTTCTGGTGACCCCCATTTGAGAACCTGCAATCATTTGCTTAACCAGAGTAGCACCCACATACTTCATGTGATATCTAAACAAATTCCTACTGACAACCCTTTAACATGACTGGTGTTCAACCCGGGTCCACTTAGCGATTCTCACTGATGGCAGATAGTTCCTCCCCAGAAAAAAGGGAGAGTCTCACTTCATTCTTAAAAGCAGAAGAGGCATGTAAAGCTCACTGCTGCTTTAGGCTCTGGTGGTAGAAAGATCACTGATACTGCAGAATGCCTCCATTACCTGAAGCAGATTTAAAAGGAAAGACTGGAGAGAAGCCCAATCTATTACATAAACAGGATCCTATTAGGAATGAAGACATTGGGGGTACGCGTATGCCTGGTGTTCTGCTCAGGGAACCTTTCCTAGCACTGAGCATGTCCAGAGGAAAAGCAGGGATCTCTGCCGTGGAAACTACTTAATGTGGGGATTCTGTGGGCGTGCAGCGTGGCACGGTCACCTAGCAGTGGGACTGATGATGCCTACCTTGCTTTTTGCATGCCCCCTTGCCATAGAGGGCAGTCTCTTTTGCAGCCTCATTTCCTCTCTTTACTTCTCCCCTGTAGGCACACCTCTTGCGCGAGCCAGCATCAAAAGTGCAAAGGTGGACGGGGCCTCCTACTTCCGGCACAAGGAAAGGCTTCTGCGTATCTCCGTCCGTCACATGGTTAAATCCCAGGTGTTTTACTGGATTGTGCTGAGCCTGGTGGCTCTCAACACCGCCTGTGTGGCCATCGTCCACCACAACCAGCCCCCGTGGCTCACTCACCTCCTCTGTAAGTGTCTGGCAACTGCTGGCTCTCAGAGGACAGCTTGATTGGGGTGTGAGTGTCAGAAAGCAAGGCATCATGCTGGGCCTGGCAGTGGCTCCGTCCACCCAGCGTTCTCCCTCTTCACGTGTGAGGGAGGCCAGGTTTGTCCCCAAGGGGTCGGGATCATCACGTGACCATTCCCAGCTGTCACTCATTGTTGAATCAAATAAACAAACCTTTGCTGATGAGTCAAAGAGATAGTGTTACACGCGGGGTGCTCTAAGGTCTTCACTTAGTGTCTTAAGGAGGTTCAGTGGTATAGGGAGTTTTGGTCTCCCAAGTCCTGAGGAGAGAGTTCTTAGGGCAATGAATACCTTCAATAAACCAAAAAGGGAACTTAGAGGTCAGCTCTGGGTGAGGCTGCCACTGGGTGTGAGTGAGGCTCCAGGATGCCTTCACAGCTGGGTGTGTATAAGGTGAACTCGGCTCTCTCTTGAAAGCCATGGTGAGGCCCTTTCTCTCCAGAGAGCCAGCTACCATTTAAAGGGCAATGGCAGCCGTACCTGTTGAAGGAGAGCAAAGCTGACCTGTGGAGTGTGCCTCGGGCTCCTCTGGGTCAGAGAGAATTCGGACATCATTAGATTTTACCTGGCGCTGAGTTGCCATGGTCACTGATGGTCCTCGCATATGTGGGTCCTGCTGGTGTTGAGGGCTCCTCTAGAGGTGGGGGTGTTGGGCTGGGGAGTTGCAGGGGCTCATGCCATCTGTGGAACAACTGCTTCTGCTTTTGATGCTTTCAGACTATGCAGAATTTTTGTTTCTGGGACTCTTCCTGTTGGAGATGTCCCTGAAGATGTACGGCATGGGGCCCCGCCTTTATTTTCACTCTTCTTTCAACTGCTTTGATTTCGGGGTAAGTGTTCGGGAGCTCGGCCATCCTGCTTTGTGGTGATATGCCTCAGTGTGAGATAAGCAGCTCACTCCCATGCTCCGCATGAGACACTGAATTCAGAAATTAGAAAAGGGGGATAGATAAGATTAGCTAACGGGAGATCAGAAAGGAGTGAGTCCTTGCCATACTAGGGTTTGTTTGAGGTTTTATTAAGCTCCCTCATGTTTAATGTTTTTATTGAAGTGTAACACACATACCACTGAGGGAACCCTTAAGTGTATAGCTCAGTGAATTTGGCAAAGATACCCATAGTCAGAGTTTTGAGCCATTTGTTATCCTGAAGGATAACTGGGAGAGAAGAATAAGACTTGATTCCAGAAGGTGGCTCAATAAAAGAGAGAAGCTTATATATTTGTTTTTTGGGTCTTTTTTAGTTCAGTTTAAAATTGGGAAAATTACCTAG